ACTTCGTAAAATAACCGTATTGTGGGGCTTTCCTAAGAAGCATAATTAATTATAAACCATGATAGGCACAGTAGCATCAGGTTTGATGTTAACCACCAATGACACCGTCTTTATGCTCCAGTGCTTTCCGTTTTCATTAGCCCCTTCATCACAGGATCTCCTGGAGACCAAGATAACAGCACTGAGCCTTCAATATCATGCTTGATCCTCTTCCTTAAAGAATAAAGGCTCAGATCTCAAGATAATCTGATATGTAAGAGTTACGATCAGATTTGGATATGTAAATTTATACATTATCAGTTTTGAAACAATTCAATGCTTAAAAATGTTAAGACCCTACATAAGTTTTGTTTTCCCTTCAGCTATGCAGCCTTTTTTTTCCTCCCCCTTTTGAGACAGGGTCTCATATAGCTCAGGCTGGCCTCAAACTCCCTAGTCATAACCAGAGATGACCTTCAACGTCTGATCCTCCTGTCTCTCACTCACAAGTGCTGACATTTTAGGTGTGCACCTGGTCTTTGAGGTGCTGGGGACTGAACCCAGGGCTTTGTACATACTAGGCAGCCACCCTACCTACTAAGCTATAGTCTAAGTCCAGTTATATATCTTTTCATTAATTTTTATGCTACAGCTGATATTGTATACATACAAAAGTTATATATTTCCTCTAAATATAGTCCTATATAATATAGTTTTCAGAAAAAAATACACTTTATTTCTATTGAGTTTTTGTCTTAAAGAATTTAGGAGGGGCTGGAGAGATGGCTCAGTGGTTAAAAACACTGGTTGTTCTTGCAGAAGACCCGGTTCGAATCCCTGCAGCCACATGGCAGCTAACAATTGTTTGTAACTTCAATTCCAGGGGATCAACAGCTTCTTCTGTTCTCCGTGGGCACTGCACGATATGGGTACACTTACCTACATGCAGGCAGTACACACATACACATAAATATAATAAATAAAAATATTAAAAAAAAAGAATTTAGGAAAGAGTGACTTATTTGAAATTTTGTAACCTGACGTTCTGAGACTATGTAGGGAGAGACAAAATTCTACTGTGTCATAGTAGAAATGAAATAAGACAGAACACGTCTTCCAGAGCTGAGCATGGTGGTATACACCTGTAATCAGAACACTTGGAAGGCAGAGGTAGGAGGGTTCTGGAAGTTCTAGGCTAGACTTGACTACAGTGAGTTCCATGCCAGTCAGGGCCACACAGTGGGCTCCTGCCAAAAAACAACAAACTTTAAGATCAAACCAAAAACATACTCATCTTCCAGAAGACACGTATTCCTTAGTGACTGCTAATGAATAGAGGCACTTACAGGTTGCAGATCTTCCAAGTACAAGGCTAGGACACAGCACTTCACCTCATATTTCCCTAGCAGCTGTGCTTACAGGGTGATTTCTAGGGCTGAGTTCTACAAATGGTGACCTCCGTGAAACAAATGCCCCACTGTGTTGGTTAGTTTTTGTCAAGTTGAAACAAACGAGAGTAACCTGGGAAGAGAACCTCAACTAAGGAACTTCCTCTATTGGACTGACCTGTGTTCATGTTTATAGGGCATTTTCTTAACTGTTAATTGATGTCAGAGGGCCCAGCCCACTATGGGAAGTGTCAGCCCTAGGCAGGTGGGCCTGGGCTATATAAGAAACATAGCTGAGCAAGCCAGGGGACCAAGCCAGTAAGTAGTGTTCCTTGGAAGTCTCTGCTTCAGTTCCTGCCTCCGAATTCCTGCCTTGGTTTCCCTTAGTGATGGACTATACCCCGTTGAGCTGAAATAAACCCTTTCTTCCCCAAGCTGGTTTTTGAGAGTGTTTTTAATCATGGCAACAGAAAGGAAATAAGGATGCCCACTGAAGTATAAATCCTTTCCTGGTGATCCCACTGCATCACATTTTCGCATTTGTTAATGTTCTTGGCTACCTTTTGGCTCTTCTTCCATCCTCTGTCCTCTGTCCACTTTCACTTTACACCTTCCTTGGAGGGCTCATCTAGATTCTAATCTCTCACCTCTTGGAGGATTTTCCAACTTACTTTGATTTTATTCCTCAACTTAGAGCTATAAAATGTCCCAGCTTTGTCTTCTAGCCACATGACTAATGTGACAGTATTAAAGTACCTTAATATGCAATCTCGATTTATTTATTTACCTATCTTTATCAATAGTACCTTTATTATTCTGTCATACAGAGTACATTTATTTTGCTATTTAAAAAACAAAAAATTTACTAGGTAGGAAACCTTTAGTTTCTTTCCTATCATTATTGATTATTCTACAAATTGCTGTTTCACTACTAACCTAACTATGTAAGAGAAAAAGGGAAAACAGAAATGAAATAACCCATTTATTTTGATATATTTCTACTTAGCCTTTTTTTGGTATTTTAAGGTCAACTAAACAAATTTTTAAATTTTATTTTTATTTTACATATATGAGTGTTTTGCCTGCCCTACATGCATGTAACTGCATCACACATATGTGGAACTGGAGTTACTGGATGGTTGTTAGCCACCACTTGGTTGCTGGGAACCCTACCAGGTCCTCTGCAAGAGCAGCCAGCGTTCTTAATCAGTGAGCTACCTCTCCAGCCCTGTGAATTTTATTTTTTAATACAATTTAAGTGAGTGGATAGTTATTTTAACACACTTGTTTCTTTCAGGCTTCTTTTTCTAACATATATCTTTTTTGTTTTGCTTTGTTTTTTTTTTGAGAGAGGGTCTCCCCGTAGCCCCAGTTGGTCTAGAACTTCCTATGTAGACTAGGCTGGCCTCAATCTCACAGAAATCCACCTGCCTCTTGTCCAATGAGTGCTGGGATTAAATGTGTGTGCCACAATACCCAGTTTCTAACATATATCTTTTATAAAAGCATAAGATTTTTTACTTACTAACTACATGGCAAATTTCAAAGTCATGCTGATTTCATAGAAATGTGGTGGACTGGAAGATGGAGGGTAGAAATGATCCACAGCCATATTCATTTTCCACAGAAAAACACACATTTTTGATATGTTAATATTTTTAACATTATCCAACGCTACCTGTGTTTTTGGAATCATTATCAGTCTTTTGTTTTGGAACGATGCAACTAAAACAGTCTTTTAAAAAGGAATTGTGGAATGGTTATTTAAGTTTACTGATACATTAAAAAGTACACTAATAAACTATCTAAAGCTATTTTTAAAAAGGTGAAATATATATTTATTTTAACAATATCAGATATTTTGCATATCTTAAGTCATCAATATAAAAATACCTACATTTGTGGTTAGCAAAACTTAATCTGTTTAAAAAGTAAAGCTGCTAATAATTATGTTAAAAGCAGAACACTTAATGATATAAAGCAGACACTCATAAAACATAGACCTCTAAGGTTCTAAACCAGGGGTTAAGGGGATCAGGGAGTCTATGGAGCGATAGAGAATTATATAGTATATACACACTTTTCCTCACAGAGAAACATATGCAAGGGATCTATAATCAATATAGATAACCAAATCAATCAACAGATTTCAAAAGAAATTAATGTATTCTATTATTGACTATTTTCAATAAAAAGTAAAAATGACATCAGAATGTATGGAAAACTAAGCCGATATTCAATGTGGTAAAAACTAAAATACAGTAAAAAAAAAAAGACATTAATGCTGAAATGCTCAGTACCTTGGACTGTATCTCTATAATACTGAACAATGAATTGATTTAATGAACTGAGCTGAAGTAATAACTCAGGATAATTCAGTGAAAAGACTCACACTTAAAATTTCTTGTACTCTTTCTAAAAGCCTGACACTATGCATTACTCACACTGTGATATCCATAATCGATTTGTGAGGTAGATGTTGCCAGCATTCACCATTCATGAGTAAAGAAACTGGGGTCTCAGGGTTGGAATGGTAACATTTCAAAGAACAGGCTGAGATATTTGTTGGCATAATGGAAGAACAGCAAAAGGGTGTAGACTGACCATCATTTCTTAGTTGATAGTTAGCTACACTGTTTTCTCACCCAACACAAAGACCCTTTTAGCAATAAACCTGGAAGATAAAAAGAGCCTCATGTTTTAGAAATTCTTATTGTTTGTTTTTGTTTTTTTTTAAGACAAGGTTTTACTATATAGCCCTTAGGTGGCTTGGAACTCACTATGTAGACCATCCCAGGCTGGTATTGATCTCATAGCGATCCAACTGCTTCTGCCTCCCAAGTGCTAGTGCTGGGATTAAAGGCACCTACTACCATATCTGGTTTATTTTAGAAACTCTTAGCCAACATGAGCTTGAGTAGCTGCATACAGTTTTAGGAAAGCCAGACATTTTAACCGATGATAACCTTCTTGAAATTAAGATACAAATTTAAAAAATCACTTTCATATTCAAGTTTCAGGAGTTCAAGTTAATTCTTTTAACTCTATTTCATATTCTGGATATAGATTGACTATTTATAAGTCCAAAAACCTGAAACCTCCAAAATCTGAAAATACTTGAGTGGTAACATGATGCCACAAGTGGAAAATTCCTTACCTGGCATCACATGATGGATTATAGTAAAAAGGTAGGTGTACTAAAAATGTACAAAATTACCTTCAGCCTCTACATAAAAGTAAATGAATTTTGTGTTTAGATTTGGATTCCATCTCCAAGTCTTATTATTTATATAGAAATATTCCAAAAACCTGAAAAAATAATCCAAAGGCTGAAACACTTCTATTCCCAAGCATTTGGGATATGGGATACTCAGTCTGTATATGAAAAACTCAGGATAATTACTATTTGGTATTTCCTAACAAAGCCTCAGTAGAGGAATAAGTTCAAACAATTTAAAAAAGATATGTCAAAGATTTACATTAAGGAACTGACCACATGTATGTAGTGTAGTAAACATCTTTTAAATCTATATTAGCTTTGAAAACACTGAAGTTATTTGCTACCATGGTAAATGAGATGATTAGGTTGGAATTTGTGATTGTGGGGGTACTGAAAGACAAAAACAGTCTTACCAAAGTCTGCAAATGCCGACTGTCCAACCACCACCAAATTTTTAGGTTTTTCAAATGTATTAATGAGTGAGAAATTTCCACCCTGTTAAAGTCAGAAAATTTTGAATTAGACCATCATGATATACTCATTTGTCAAGTGTAAAATTGGAGAGAAATAATTTAATCCTTTTTTTTCTTTGCTTTAAAATCATCCCAATCTTCTATCCACTTTTATTATCAAAGGAACCACTGTGAACTGAAAAAAATATGAATCTAGACAGCTTTTGCTGGCCATCTGGTATAGTATCTTTTACCAAATCACCACCATAATTTCAGACATAAGGACTGGCTTCCAATTTCAAGTACCATGGAAAGATTTGAAAACATAAAGATGCATAAAAGCTAGTTCCTACCTTCAAAGTCCTTAGTGGGGAGACATGATCTAAGTCAGGGAGACAGGGCTGCTGAAAGTAACAGGTAAGTAGCAAAGATATTGTGTTTCTACATTCTAAGAGAAGAATATTACTTTAAGATCTTCAGATAAAAGGCAAGCTCTATTGATCTTACAGGCCAGTTCACTACCAACTCATGCTAATGAAAAGGAGAACAAAAGACTACAAACAGCCCCAAATACCCTAAGCAGGAGCAGTTATTGTAAAGAGAAAAGGAGGAGCCAAGGGGACCCTTGGATTTACTCTTTCCAAAATTTATGCTTGACTTCCAAAAACAATATGCAGTAATTTAAAAGTATTTTCTTCCTTTCTAAAATTTTAAGCTCCAAAATAAGAAAACGAACCCAAATATTGAACTTTGATTTATAAAGCACTCTTATCACTGACATCTCATTGTTTTATATCCTGGCTTTGATTCTAACATGCCTTATGCAGGGTTATCTATATACTGTAAAGTTGTTCCTTTTGTTCCTCTGATGATACTACAAATCTGTAAGCAAGTTCCTTAAGAAATTACTTCTGATTTTTGTAGAAAAAAGTACTGAGGAGCTGGGCATGGTGGCACACGCCTTTAATCCCAGCACTCAGGAGGCAGGGTGGATATCTGTGAGTTCAAGGCCAGCCTGGTCTACACAGTGAGTTCCAGGACAGCTGGAGCTACAGGGAAACCCTGTCTCAAAAAGACCAAAAAAAAAAAAAAAAAAACAAAAAAAAAACCCCAAAAACCCAAAACAAATGAAAGAAAGAAAGAGAGGAAGAAGAAAGAAAAGAAAAAAGTACCAAGGAAATGAAAACTGAGGAATCATGCTTGAGAACAGGAGTTGAGTCCTCAAGATTTGTTTTGTGAGGACTGGAGAGATGGCTCAGCAGTTAAGAACACTGGTTGTTCTTGCAGAAGACCCAGGTTCGAATCCCAGCATTCACATGGCAATGGCAGCTAACAACTGTCTGTAACTCCAGTCCCAGGGGATCCAACAGCCTCTTCTGACCTCTGCGGGCATTGCATGACACGGGTGCACTTACCTACATGTAGGCAATACACGCATACACACAAAATAAAAATAATAAATAAAATAAAAAAAGGTTTGTTTTGTGATAGGCAACTTCCCAACCATTTTAACACTCAATTATCCATAAAAAGAAATATGTTTCTGGGACTGGAGAGAGAGCTACGTCTATAAAGTACCTCCTGCACAAACATGAAGACCTGAGTTTGGATCCTCAGCACCCACATAACGGCTCGGTGTGGTGGTGCACACCTGACCTGTAACCAAATGCTAGGGGGTGTGTGGATGGAGGACGGAAACAGGAGGACCCCTGAAGCTTGCTGCTCAGCCAGTCTAGTTGAAATGGCAGCTCCAGTTTCAGTAAGAGACACTGTCTTCACAAATAAGGCAGAGGTCAACAGAGGAAGACACCTGATGTGGACCCCTGGCCTCCACATGTGTATGTCCATGGGCGTGCACACAGATACAAACAACACACACACACACACACACACACACACACACAACCAAAAAAGGGAAGAAAAAAATAAATGTCTTCTGCCATTATTGAAGTGGCAATATATTTTTCAAATGAGTTTTGTATGACATCTTTTTTTTTTCCTATGACATCTTTTTATATGAGTGTGATACCCCTAAGGCTCATATTGGAGATGTCATTTCCACAGTTGCCAGGTTTCCGCTAAAGTGTTCTAGAACATGACAGCATTGTGTGCTGAGTGGGAACAAGTGAAAGGACAAACAAAAGCTCTTAAAACAAGAAGTCAGGGCTAGAAGACGACTTAGCTGGTAAAGTGGTTGGAACACAAGTATTAAGATCTGAGTTTAAGTCTCATAACCCATATTAGCAAACAAACAGACAAGCAAACAAGTCAGGTGCAACAGTAAGGAAGTGCCTGTGATGTCAATGCAGGGAGGCAACGGATGGGAAGGCCCCATGGGCTCAATGGCCAGTCAGCCTGTCTAGCCAGATTGGTGAGCTCCAGGGCAGTAAGAGACTGTCTCACAAACAAGGTGAACAACCCCTGAGGTGGGACAACAGGGGTTGTCTTCTGACCTCCACATCACACACACGTGTATGTGCACCCTCATAAACATGAAAATACACACACACACACACACACACATATATACATACACACACATACATACATACAAATGGACATGGAACCAACATATTAGCCTCATGTGAGATAAAAGGCAGAAAAGACAATACTTCAAGAGAATTTCTTATCATTGCCTGACCTTATTCACTGGGCAGTATAAACTTATAACTTAATTTGTATTCAGATCAGTGTTATTTACATATTTGTTATTACTCACATTGTATAATACATTTTAAAGCTAGGTAGGACTATACTTATTTTCAAAGGTGAGGCTGTTAAATCCTTACTAAATGTATGAAGAGAAACATGGCATAAAAGCTCATTTTCATTTGGAACTCAAAACAAGGGCAGAATAATTTGATGGAAAGTGCACAGATGATACAGCTTCCAGTCTGCTTTTCATTCATAAGTGACAGCTCGGGGATGACGACTTCCTAATGAGGGTTTTGGTTCTTCATTGGGATCCATGTACTGCCTAAGTTCTGGAGATGGTCAAACAAACAGGTAAGAATGCTGTACAAAATGTAACGTGTGAGGCACCTGGAGGTAGTTCTACAATGGCAGATCTACTCCTTGGTCTGCCTCACGTGTGCTGTAGTTCTTCTATTACTGTTCTCTGTAGTCTCAACCTGAGGCTCTGCTGCAGTTCTGTCCTGTTCTCCTTCTCCTCTCCCCTCCTCTCCCCTTCTCCCTTCTTCTCTTCCCTCTCTTCCCTTTCCCTGACTTTTTCTTTGGCGGGTGGGTCCATTTGGTTTCTATTTGGATTACTATGGAATGACTTAAGGTTTTACAGGCAGATTTCCTAGTTTGAGTTTCAGTTCCTATCTGCTAGCCTTGAGGCCGAAAATATTAGCTCTTCTCTAAATATCACTTAACATGAATTTTCCAAGTTTTGTTTTTGGAGGTTGGTCAAATAATCCAAATAATATGCCTATCACATAGTATATTCTTAGTTAACATTAACTACTATTAACAGCAAGAACACTGGTGGTATTACTTTTGCTAGCACAACCATTATTACCACTGAAGGAGTTAACTCATCACTGTTGACAAGAAGTTTCTGCTTGAATTCCAACAAGTGCTAAGAAGACTGTCAGCACTTAGGCCTGAATATTTCAGAACTTAATGTCAAGACAGTCATATTCATCATGTCACAATGATTATGATGCAGTATGTAATAACTATTGTGTATCACAGTCTTTGTTGTGGAAAGCAGTGGTTCACAGATGGGGTGACTTTAATCTTCAGGGAACATTTCATACTCTTTCCCAAACTTTCTGATTGTTACAACTGGGAGAAAGTAGGTAGGGGTCAAGGATACCACTAAACAACCTAGAGTGCACAGAAGAGCTCTCTCCAGTAAAGTGCAATAGTGTCTGGACATAATTGGTGTCTGATTCTGACACGAAGGGTGTCCAAGAATTGGCTTTGCTGTTCTTCTGGCCTGTTCCTAATACACTTTCTTGAGTTCTAGTTCTACATTTCTAACCAGTTCTGTGAAATGACTCTTAAATAATTTTTTCAGCCCCAAATTAGGTATTTCCTTGATCTTTTCTAGGTCACCAGAAGGAAATGCCAGTTACCATTATGTTACTAGTTAACCTATTTTCTCACAGCTGCCTACCCATCCTTGTCCATTCCCAGTATGTTACTGTCAATCATTCAACTTTTTCCAAGGTTACTGTGAACTCTACTGAAATTACTCCACCACTTCCAGATTTTCCACACCAACCTATTTGAGGAGCCACAGTAACTGAAATAATGAAAACTCTATTCATTTTACTCTCAACCCTAAATCATTTGATAGCTTCTCAATAGATTATTAAATCTCAGATTAGTTTAGAAGTCAAGGTTTTACTAATTTTGCTTAAATTAGCTTTTCTAATCTTACTTTCCAATATTCTTTTCATCTGGGCCCAACCAGCAATCTTCTACTCTCTGAATGAATGTGGCATTTTCTGTACACCTCTTGCATGCCTCTTCCTGTCTTACTTCACTAAATTTTATTGTCTGCACTAGCCATTTCAAATGCCTTTCCTGAAACTTTCACTGGTAATTTGGATGGGCAGAAGGAACTGCTCTGTCTTTTGTAGTAGAAGGTTTGTACCTCTTATTATATCACCCAGTGTCACCTACACATCAATTTTAGACCCCCTCCTGGCCTACACATCTAGATGCCCTGGACCTGACCACTGAGCTGAGCACACAAATAATGCTCTACAAAAGATTTTTTTTTTTTTTTTGCTGCTCTGGCAGTTCTAATGTTAACGTGGTTTTATAGGTTTTTGGTTCTTCTTGGTCAATTACCATGTTACTGTAAGTATTTGACCAGTCTTGCACTGAAAAGGGTCAATGGGTCAACTATGTTGTGAATAATGAACTTCATTGAATGGAATTAATTTTGAACAAATACATTTACCTTAATTTATACTAATGCCGTACTCAGTGTTAACATGAGTATTATCACAAGAATCTCTTTTTGATTAACTTTTCTTAAGCTCTCTTAAGACTTCTACTCAGCCCAAACCTGGGCTTCATCTCTATCCTTATAAAATTAAAAAAAAACAACACTAAGGCAGGTTGGTTGGAATCCTTCTCATTGCTAGTTATCTAATAATTCTGCTCTGTCTTGAGCTAAGATCCTGTTAGGTGAGTTGAGCAAAGGATTCGTCTCCTCCTTCTTAGTAATTTCTAATTCACTAACCCTTACCCTCTTATTTACTATAAAACCCTCAGTTTTCTTTGTTGCATTTGTAGTTGAGCCCAATATTCTCATATCTACATCAAACCTGTCTTACCATCTTTAGCAAGTGTTTGAATAGTTTTGCTTTAATGGTTACTCTCTGATCCTGCCACTTATTGCAAGAACAACTTAATTTCTATTAATCAAAAGGCAATGTATTTGTTTTCTTTAAAGAAAAAAACTTGAGTACAGCTATCAAAATACCTGAAAGCAAATCCTGAATCCACCACTCTAGAGTCCAGCCTTGGAAGACAAAAGAAAAATGAGCAGGAACCCAATAGAGGGATGCTTTTGGAAGCCCTTGTCAAGAAATTCCAATGGACTCTCATATGAACATTTGAAAACTGCCCTGTTCTGACTTTTTTCTAGTTCCCTGTCTAGAACTTGTAATGCTAAGTACTCTTGCCTTTACTTCTCCTTCACATCTCCTATTCACCAGTCAAGGACTTTCTTTTCCCCTTAGAGATAAGAGTTATGCAATTTGTGAGTCTTTTAGATAGACCCACTGAAGGGGTACTCCAATTGCCTCACCCTGCGTCCCTGTTCAGCATGGAAGAAGCCAGAGTAGTTTGCGTCCTAATTCCCTATTGGCAATTTGGGTAACTCCTTTGGAGGATGGTGTGATAAGAATAGGAGGTAGGAATTGGCTAGGCAGTTAGGGTAAAAACACCCCAAAGACAAGTAGCCAGTTTCTTGGCTAAAACTCAAAATGTCCCTGGGCATCTTAGCAACATACTCCATTCCAAAGGCCAAAAATGTCAAAATTATTTGGGAGCTTTCATCTAATCCTTAAAAGATTTTAGGATTACCTTTTCGGGGAGGAATGTTAATGTACCCAAAAGCCCCATAAAAAAAAATAAAGAAAAAGATAAAAGTGATGGGGAGATATGGGAGGTGTTGGAAGGGAGGGAGTGGGCATGGATTTGATCAAAACACCTTATATGCATGTATGAAATTCTCAATAAAGTTTTTGTAAAAGTTAAAAAAAAAAACTTGAATGCAAAAAGATCTCAAGTAAAAATCTATATTCGTCATAAAGACTGCTTTTCCCATTGAGCTGCTACATTTGATTATCTCTAAAACCAGTCTAAGCTGAGAAGAGACTGTCTATGAAAATGCACTTCATAATTTTATACACAAATTCTATTTACCTGCATTGAAGCTGGCCCTCCCCAGATGTAAACCAATTGAACAGGTCTCTTATGCACTAAGCTCAAGATTTAATGGATGAATGAAAGGCCATCTCCAAACAAATATTCTCCAGCAGTGAGACTTAGTGTCTAACAATCATAAAAATAACATTTTTTGTCATTAGAAACAAAAATTATATTACTAAAAACAGCACACTAAATAAAATTAGTTTTTTAAATTTTAATACTTTTCTCACTTTTTCTTGCCCCATTAAGAAAAATAAAAGCACCATCATTTAGAAGCAGTTAGAAATCCTGATCTTGTCTTACCATCAATCTCTTCACACTTATTTGTGCTTATATCTGTTAGAACTGTTTATTATGAGAATCTCCACAAAATCTGTAAGTGGTTATTGCTTTAATTTGGATTGAATAAAAAATAATTAGAGAAGCAGGAGTAATTATAGGTGGAAAATCAAAAGAACTAAAACCGAAACTTGGTTCCTACTCTGTGTCAAGCACTAGATGTGTTTGCTTCTCAAACATGCTATGAAACAAGACTGTTGTTATCTATTCCCATACGAAGAAAGTAAGTTCCATATTTGACCAGTGTATAACAAACATCACTGACGTGGCCCGTTTTTACTGACTTCAAGGTCATCCTCTGTTACATAGCACATTGGAGGTCAGCCTAGGCTGCAAGAGATCCTGCCACAGAAAACAAAACACGAGCATTTCAGATTTCCACTAGTAAGGAGAATACTTGACCAGTGGCTCCAGCTGCTGTCCTCGGCAGCCTAAAATTGAGCTTTGAGATTTCTGGGGGTTTATTCTTCATTAATTAATCTTTCATATGTTCTATATTAAGGTAAAAATCAAATCAAATCATGAGATTGTTTTGGGAATGTTTTACTAACAATTTACAAATGAAAAAAAAAAAAAAAACTAGGGGAAAGGATTCTTAATCCTAGTGAACCTGGCAGTAAGCTTAGTGTCAGTTCTTAATTCTTCTTTTAAAAAAATAATTATTTTGTTCTTTGATGATTTCAGACATGTATATAACACATCCTGGTTATCCCCCATTTATTCTAATCTTTCTCTCACCCCTACTTATTTCTTTTATACAAGCCTAAAGTTGAGGAGAAAAAATTAATTTAAAAAAGGGTTTTCTTCATAAATCTCCAAGCTGACAAGTTAAATGACAGTAACCCCTCTCAACAGCTGACAGCTCAGCAGGGGCCCTGTTAAAATCCCTATAAGGGCAAGTTTATTGGTTTAATTGGTCGTCATGCCTAAAATCCTGCAGAGGACCTGATGGTGAATGAATCACTTTCCTCAGCAACATTCAGCAGTTTGAATGCAGTAAGGCAACCAAAGGCTCTTAATGCTCTTCTGCTTATTATTGAAACCAATTGCATGACTATATTAATGCTACTTTATAAATTATTAGTCTTTAGGGAAAGTTATAACTTAAAAATGTTTCCAAGAAAATGTTTCTTACCAAATTTTCCCATATCTGAAACTGGAAGTTATCAGAGGAAGACTTTGTTGTGAGGAATAAATCTACAAGGAACAAAAGTGGAGATGTAAGTTTGTATAGTCACATTGATATGTACATTTAAAAGTGGGAAGAAATGAAGTACATAAAATGATTATTAATACAATTCTACTTAAACATAAACTATGTTTGATCCCATTTAAACAAGTTTAATCCAATTTAAAAAAAGGAGATGTCTTGAGTTAGTATAATTAAGAAAAATGTGTATTTTCTTAAGGGTACATTTGCTATTAGACTTTCAAAAGCAGTCCTTATTTTTAGGGACAATTATTTTTTACCATTTCTCTTTCATTGCCTTTTTGTAGTGCTGGGGATGCAATTTAGGTTCTCACACATGCCAGTCAGGTACTCGATCATTTATGTACATGCCCAGTTTTATATTTTAAAATTACATACTTTTAAATCCTTTTTTAAAAATCCAAGGTGCAAGGAAATATTCTGATCATAATCACATTTTGCATTTCCACCCTCAATCCCATACCTTTTCATATATCTCAGGAAGGTCTTAGGCAGTATTTTCAATCACTGCAGTTCAATGTCCAAAATCTTCAGAACTCATGTTAACTGAGCAATAAATCACGTTTCTACTTCTGAGTAGCAGATTAGCTTTCATAAATTCATATTAAAGAAATTTTTATTGGAAAGTGCATGAATTTTAATAAAATGTCTTTGTAAAACAATAGGGTGACAGTCAAATGAAATATCCAAATTAATGGGAAGGCCAGGTGAATACACATCTATTTCAGAAGTGCAACTTATTATGTTTTCACAATAACATTTTTACTTAGTGAATATTAAAGGTTTGAAGTCTATGAGGGGACTCTTGGAATATTTAAGTGACATTATTCTTTTATGCTTAAATGGCAATTATTCAAGTGGTGTGAGTGAGATCATGATTATTGTTAAAGAAATGCTTTTTACCCACATTATGCTTAGAAAATAATTTCATTTTATGTTTTGTGTAACAGTTCTATATAAGTCTATGAAGCTAATATATGTAATTATAATAACTATTTTCATAGAATTCCAAGAAACTTAATTTGTTCACTTTTTTACATGGTTGAACTCAAATTCCTCATTCCAGGTGGAATAATTTTTATGTCCACATATCAATATCCACACCTCCGCATTCACTAGCATCACACTAAAGACATTTTGTTTCTAGACAGAAAATTAGTCTTTTACAGAGATGACATATACCTTTGCTGTCACACACACACACACACACACACACACACACACACACAC